ATTCCATTAAAGATTCTTTAGTAATCTTATTTAAGGTCCATCTATGGATTCAGAAAGAGTTTTTGCCACATATACAGTAAAAAAAGATTTGGCTATGTGAAAATGTGATCATTTGAACAGAGGTGTATGTAACATAGACATCATTATTATCATTAAATTTGACACTTCTTGCCAAATCCTGATTTTCTATGCAGGATGGTTCACATTACATGATTTATACACCCTCTGATCCACTTCTATTCGTTGCTGTCAAGGTAACTATAAGTATCCTTGAAGGAATTACTGTTTCAGACTTGAAATGTGGTTGGACTCCCAGTTTTTGATTGAATTATATGCTAATGGGTCTAAATTCGGGACTTTAAAAGCATGTCTGCAAGCTTATAGCTTGAGAACTACTAAAAGGGGAATAAAAAAGAGAAGGAAATATTATGAAGATTACAATGAAGTGGGAAGCTCATAAAGCTGGGTTTCATTTTCTGCAGGATCAGAATGGAATGCTGCAAATTGCTGATGATGTAAGCAACATTTTCATTTTAAAAATATCCAAGTTGTTTCTTTTACTACATTCTCTATTCCTGTAGATTATAACAAAATGAAAAATAGTGTTATATATTCATTCTCCAAGTTGTGTGTAATGCACTAACAGGATCTCCTGGAGGACCCTGCTATCATGAGTGCCATTGATGAAGAAACTGAGTTCAACGCCTTGGTGGTATGTAATGCTACTAATTACCTTGTTGTCAATCTGCTGCTGAAATGACCTAATGATTGTTCTGGCATTTATTCCCCCACTCTTCCAGGAAGAAGAAGCTGCTCTTCTTGAATCATTGTTGGGTGAAAGATGAGCAGGTTGCTCGCATCAACTTTTATAGGTTGCCCAAACTGTGCTTCTTTGGGAGTGGCCCATGAATTGTAAGTTACTATGCCTACCCTTAATAATTCCACCCACTCATTTTCCGAGAAAATTGGAAGTGAGAGGGGAGTAACAAGATTGAGAAAGTGTAAATGATAAATTTTGTCTAAATTCCGATGATGTATAATTCAATAGTGAATTAAGGAGTTGATCTTCACTTTAGTTCAATCAAGGATCCCGACCTGTCATTTTGATGCAATTAAAGGCAAATCCACAACTGTGTGATACATGTGCTGTGATAGATATTATTAAGTAATTTCTACAATAATAATTTCAAAACCATGTACAATGTTTTCTTTTTCTCAATCAAGTTGTGAATTTATTAAGGATAAATATCCGTTACAGACTAAGATCCATGGTCAAAATATGAAGCTCACACCAGCCAGGACACACCATCTCCACAACACTGGAAGCAAATCACCTAAAATCCCAAGAATTACAGCTATAGGAATTCCTACACTGCAGAATAACTTGGCTGGAAAAAAAAAATAGGTCCTATTTACCCTACTCACCAAACAGGCTCACTTCAACCGGCAGGGAACAGACGACCCACAACCGCCCAATATGACAGCAATATTCACACACTGAAACATGATGAAGATGATGGCAGTTTCAATGATAGAAATCCCCTCTGGAATGGAAATTCTACCCAGCAGGGAGGTAACAGTGACGGCAAACAATAGGGTCGGCCAGGTTTTTCCTTTGGGTCGATAAGCAAAGCTTCAACTGCTGCAAATGGAAGGCTGTCGTTGGCGATGAAAAGCGAAGAGGGGGGTTTGTTGGCAGAGGAGGTTTAAAATGGAGACCATGAAGGAGAGAAAAGAGGTTGTACAGTGTATGACTGTATGTAGGTATAGAATATGCCCAGAACTACGTTTTTGGGTCTACAATCAACTTAATGAATTCTGGGGATCAAAAATAATACAAAAGACGCAAATGGAATTTAGAACCCTTTAATTTCAAAAAATAGACGAAAAATTCCTTACGAAGGCCATAGAGTTGCTGGTGACAGACAGGATAAATCTGGCATACAAGCAATGGTGGCAACATTTATGCTTTCCATAATCATTCCCTTATTCAGGATGAGGTTTTCTAATTTTTAGCTTGTCGCACAAATTCTCGGAGTTTGAAGAATCCAGAGATTACCACTGGAATGGATAGTAATGAACCCAGATATGAGAATGTTTTCCAACGGACTGAAACTATCCATCTACCTACCTGGCTCATCCATAACTAAACAATAACCTTTTCAAAACCGTCCTCCATTCTAGTATCAGCAAACTGAAATACTGCCAATATAGCAATAAAGTTTTAAGCTAGCATCTTTAACTAAAGCACCCTCTGTGTAATGGTTCAGCCACCAGGTACAGATGAAACACAAAAGAGACCATGCTAAAGGTGTGAAGAAGAAAAATCAAATAGGGGAGTGAAAGGCATCCCTCATAGTCAGGTCCTCTCCAATGAAAGAAAAGTAATCAGAATCTCACCACTCACTTCTTTTATGTTGTGGCAAAAGAAAAGTGAAGAATCCCAGGTTATATAAACAAATACCTATCCTATTAAATTTAGCCTATAGTGTCCATGCTAACATAACAAATAGATGCATTGCACAAATGAGAAGCACAAATTTGCTAGTCGGCGTGGCACCATTAATAAAATTTGCTAATGGAACCTTATAGCTTGCATTAATTTTTCAAAGCATTTGTTGGTTTTAAGGCATTCTTTATATGTAAATTTCATCCTCAGACACAAAAAAAAATGAACAAAAAGAGAGGAGTTCAAAAAGTTGTAGTTATCATATAAAATACCCAACATGAAACAAACTAAAGAGAGTAAACATAAGTTCATAGCAATAAACCCCAATGCTAAAAGACAGCAACCACTTTAGTAACACACTAAATTCCATGCTTAATATTTCTACTAGCAGAAGAAGTTCCTCCTTGCAGTTCAATTGTCACCTGCAGCTCGCCTTTCCTCATTCTCTCTTCCTACAATTTCACTGCAAAACAGCAAAAATATTGACAAGTGCTACAAGCATCATTTGCACCCAGAAATATAATAGTAAATCTGGTTATAGTAAAAGGCCATTTCCAGGCTGTCTACAACATGGATGCCTCTGAATTGATTCAATGAACTGTAGTTAAGGCTTCACTAACTGTATATTTACTAAAATTAAGGAAAGAAAGGATAACTGCTCCACCAGAAAAGAGTCTAAACAAATATAATATTTCCACAGACAAAAGAATTCATAAACGTACTTGACTGAATCAAGCAACTGTAACACTCAATTCTCTTTTTCTTCTAGTTTCATTCTATTCTACCAAACAACTTAAAACTAATTTGTTCTATACTACTTTATAAAGGACAACAGAAAATAAAACTAGATTAATGCCTGTTTGTTTGCTTAAATACCAAAGCAAAATAGAGTTGGTGAAATTATCAAGTCATTAATCAAATTATGTGTCAAACAACTTTCGAAATAACCAAACAACTTTCGAAACAACCTTTCTTTCAGGAAGTAAAATTTTAATCAAAATTAAAACCTACGCTAAATCAAATTATCAGCAGTTCCATATTCTAGCATTTAGTACTTGGAATTGCCTGGCATAAATCGAGTACCAAGTTTTCATTCTAAACTTCTAATTCTGGGAGATTTAAGACTACTGATTTTAGATCGGCTTAGAGAAAAGAATCCTAGAGCTCCCTAGCGTAAACTTCTATGAAAACGCTGTTATATTTCAAGGTTGGCAATCCTGCACACGATTGTGACTCTAGATAAGTTATGTTCATAGGGAATTTCAATTTATTCCAATCTCTATTACTTCTGTAGCAATGCAAAAGAATCTATATCATATGGTCTTTTTTTTTTTCCACATCTAGCTACTAAAAGAAGGTTTGCTTAATGTCTTTCTCTGCAAGCCTCTCAAATTAACAGAATGGTTGGTTATTCAAATTATGACCTTCGGGCAAATTGCAACATAAGAGGCTATAGTTTTGCTGCCACTGTTTCAAGGGTTGGTTGGTCCAGTTACACTTACGAAGTTAGGAAAGAAACTCTAGGAAGCACTATAACAATTGCTGCCACTGTTTCAAGGGTTGGTTGGTCCGGTTACACTTAAGAAGTTTCATACAAAATGATGTTCATGCAAGGCTTAATTCTAAATCAGAGCTTGATAAGAGGCAAATAAATGAAAGAATTTCTTGGCAGTAAAGTCTCAGTGCAAAATATCTTAATTCTATATTGGTTTAACTTAGTTTCTTCCGTAACCAGTTATCTAGCTTCTTTGGATGATAAAATTTCCATCAAGCAAACTTAGACACAATCACCAGAGAAAAATTCGAACTTCAAGGCTAATTTACATAATCATCCCTTAATTCAATTAATAGTCATGAAAAAAGCAAGTCTAAATCAACATCGAGAAAAAAAAAAAAGAAGAGAATTTCTCTTATACCTCCATTTGCTTGTCACAAGTTGCTAACAAGGTAAATAATTAAAATGTAACACAATTGTTCCAGGTAAAAAGTATAATCATACATTGTTATTTATATATAGAAAAGATTCGCTTTAAATTTTTAATTATTCAAAATTAATAGTATTTGCTTTTGCTCCCAAAACGCATTTTTTGCCTTCTTCGTCATTGTAAAGCAAAAAGCAAGTAACAAAAGCAATAACCATCAAACAACGAAACGGAGGCCAAATTAAGCGTAAACAAACATCGAGAGTAAACAAAGTGAGGGGACAAAAAAAAGTACCGAAGCAAGTTAGTGAAATTGGCAGCAGTGGCTAGGTCAGCCTGTTCCCTAGCTTTCAAAATTCGGAACATAAGAACCAGCTTGATTTGGGTCCGGGCGCTTCGCTGGATGATGAGTCTAGTTTCCCTCTTCAATTCCTCACACTCACTTTCAATCGCTTCGAATTTTTCCCTCACTTGCCTCTGCCCTTCTCTTATATTCTTCTGTTCATCGCTGATTTCCTCCATCTCCACTTTCAGCATCTGAAACCTTTCTTGCATGTCCTTCATCCCACTCTTCTTCTTTTTCTACGTTAAAAAAAAATCGAAATTGTTAAATCCTAGGTTAAAACAATTAGGAAAAAAAATAACAATTAAAAGATTAAGAAAAACAAAATCAATTACATTCTTGCATTGCAATTTGGAACGTTTGTTGTTGCGAAAACGACCTCGTAAACAGAAGGGAGCCATTGCCTACTCTCGAATTCCTTTGCCCTAACCCTAATTTCAATTCTTAAGAACTGTTTGATATCAGAGACATTGAGAGGCCCATCTATTTATAATAAAAAATCTAATAACTGCAAGCAAGCGGGACCAGAGATCGCGCGACTCTTTACAAATAACGTTGGTTGTTGCAAGTTATCGTAAGAGATATTATAATATTTAATTAATAATTATTATTATATAATTAAAAATATTAAAATACATTTAATATATTTATGTATAATGTTAATTAACCTAATCCAACCCATGAACACTTTTAAGGATTATGTTAATATAATTTACACCTGTCAATCTTATAAAATTTCTTATAAAATTAAAAAAAAATTACTTTCTCAATAATTGAATATAATTACACATCCAATCTGCTTCCCTAAAGGCTAATTTATGCAACATAAAAACAAATATTCTTCATACAATTATATATAGTAATTGCTTTTAATAACTAATTCGTCTAATTTACCATTTACAAAATTAATAAATTCAAATTTATATTTATTAAAAATTTCTTTCACGTAGCAATGGTTAATCTTAACACGAGACTAGACAATTTGGAAAGAAGATTACAACGCGATAATATTACATGTTCAAATTAAGGTTAATGACGAAAATAAAAATTTTAGAACTTAGGGGTGTCAAAGTGGGAATATCCCAATTTAGGACTTGGGGGACAAACAAGCGTGTTTCACTAGAAGGGGAAACATAAGCCTTACGTTACGACTTTATAAATGTCTTATCGTGTCAATCAGTGGCAAAGCTCGATAGTTTCTCGAGAGACTCAATTCAATGCTTCGAACAATATTTTGTTAAAAAGTTGTTGAGGACGAAACTAAACAATAAACCGCTCTTAACATTAAAAAACTAAATGCATACGCGTCAAAAAAGTTCTAATTCTTAGGAACTGTTTGATATCAGAAACTGAGAGGTCGATCTATTTATAATAAGAAACCCAAATTTGTAGACGCGAGTCATAACTGCAAGCAAGCGGGACTAGAGATCGCGCGACTCTTTGCAAATAACGTTGGTTGTCGCAAGTTACCGTGCGAAATAGCGCTATCTTTATTTTTTTCCCCATTTTAGTAAAACTTTTGCTAAATCTGCTTTTGCTAAATTTGAATAACATTGTTGTAATCTTCCTGTCACTTTTATCATTTTCAGTTTGAAGCAAAGCAGTCTTCACTTTTGCTAAATCTGCTTTGCTCTGTGATGCATTGGTATAACTTTGTGTTTTTCTTTATTGTTGCCATTTCTAGCTTGTTACGATGTCATTTGTTTCTAGTATTATATCCTAGTGCATTATCTATTTATTCAACCAAATGTTAAGGGCCAATTCTTTGTATCTTCGAATAAAGGTGCCTCTTTTAATGGCTGATCACACTCTTTGTATTTCCTCTTGCACCGCTTAGTCTGTGTTCGTAGATATTTGTAACTCACAGTACTGTCAGGGAAATTGTGAGTAGTCATGTCATATCCTAGGAATATTAGTGACATATCAGCATATGCTGGATATATTCCTTGCCTTAGGAAATAAAAGTTCTATAACACGTTGACACTCTATCCACGCTTGTTGTAAACCTCCTTGTTGATCCATTTGCGGAAGAAATGTTGCTGAGTAT